ATTTTAAAAAAAAAAAACTAAATTGCAGCTCAAAAGTCGAAAAAATCCTGGAAAAAATGTTATGTGGAATAATCAACAAAAATTAATAATGGAGCACACTTCCAAAACCTTTGAAAATATATTGTCTCCGGATGTTTTGAATGACAAAAGTGAATCGTCGTGCATATCACCACTCCATCTGGTATGATTTCAACCCATCCGTTTAAGCATGGATTCATTAGTATAATCACTGAATATTTGAAGTGAGATAGTGTTAGATGATGTTGAAACTTGGATGTGATTGTAATCCTTTTTAGAATCCTGATATATTCACAAGGCTTCTAGAAACGCCAAAAAAGTAAGCTTCCTTTTTAGTGATTATTTGATATATCAATTATTTCTCCTTTTCATGATAGCCATCTGTCCAGAAATGAGTTTCAGTTATTCCGATAGTATGACACCTAATAAAGAGAATTAATCAGAATATTTTTAGCATTCCATACTTCTGAGCGATATGCAAAAAGATTCTAAAGCAATGCCATCCAAGTTGAAATGTACATTTTGTCAGTATCTTTTTTTATAGATTTAAATCGTTTGAAAAATTTGAACAAGATCAGGAGAATACTTGGAATTGCAACAGACAAATACCAAGCAGCCCATCTCATCCGAATTATAATACGAATTCATATGTTATAATGCCGGATGGGAATAATTATGACGAAGCGTTAGTTGGAAAAAATACGGATACGGTATCGTTATCAGTGCTATCAGTGCAATGTATAAAACTTGTTGAAGGGTCTGCCATAGGCAAATTGAGTGAAGTGTTTTTGAAGTGACTGAATTTTTCTAACTTCTACGCCTTTCATATATTTGAAATATGCGTGTTTAAATTTAATTTACTTGCACATCAGGTTGCTAATCTTTCAAACTTAATCATATTTCAATAAATAAACAATATTTGAAGCCAAAGCTGGGAAGGTCACAAATATTGGATAGTACTGTATTGCAAGATAACAAACACCCAATGAATATTACTCCTGAAGCTACATCGAGTGACGTAGTTCTTGATAGTCCGGATGACAGTGATATTTCTTGGTGCACATCATCCTCGCTTTCGGTACAGTCAAACCTTTTGAGGTCTTAAACGCATTTATTATGCAAAGCTGAAACTTAAGTAGTTGATAGTTTAAAATATAAGGGTAATTCAAACAAGGATTCAGTCCCTAAAAATTAATGATCTTACAATATCCTGAAAGATATATACAAAGATCAGGAAAGGAAATATTTTTCATAGGTTTAAAGCACAATAAGCCATAATTAGTATGTTGACTTGAAGCATTTCCGTTCCCTCCTAATTTCCTCCTGATTCATCACAATATTTCTTAGGGCTGATTTCGGTATTCCAGGAAACATACAGTACCCGCAAATACAAGATTAAATCTTAATATTACGTATCTCTGATAGCTTGCAAGAATTTCCTTCGCAACTCATTTTAAAAAAATCTTGCTTCAAGTTGAACCGGTGTAATAAATTTGGACGGAAGCAGATAAATACTTTGAAGCGCTGTAGATAGGTAGAAGTCCTAATTATGTAGGATTATCACATTTCATTTTCTAAATTGTAAATATGCAGGGTAGAAATTTTCATTAGGCTTTCTCCACAGATCTTTTTGATAGCTTTCGAGATGGTTAAATTGGACTTCAAATTTGGAAATTTGGTGCAAAAAAAAATTAAATCTATGGAAGATAACTATGAAAAAAAGTCGCGAAAACATCAGCAGATGAATTCATTATATTTAATGTGGCAAATAAAATAATTTGGAAAATTTTGTTTTGTCGGTAGAATAAGAATAAGGTGGAACATGCAGATTTTGTTCAATCGTGAAATAACGAAATTAGAAAAACTCTGAATGTTTCAGGGAAACGGCGATATATTAATTCCTGAAAGAATTGAAGAAAAACGGAACGAAAGGTAGAAGTTTTATCAAAAATAATTCCGAATAATTCCGGAACTCATAAAATTAGAAATTCATATAAGTTTTTTCTCTTCAAATTTCAGTTCTTTCGAAGCACTTCCATCAAACGATCTTGACTCCTCAACGCTTCATAAAGTAGACATCCTTGAAGAAGCTGATCCAACATCATCTAACATCCCACGGCACGTACATCAGTTTTTAAATCCGATTTAAATTTCTAGTTTTAAAAGATGTTGAAAAATCTGGTTCATGCTTAATCCTCTTACACTGAAATCTTTCAGTTTTTACTTTCCTTATGGCATCCCACTTAGTAGGAAAGAAAGTTGCAACAATCTAGAAGCTGTGAAAGAACTATTTCATAAATATAATGATCGGGTATCTCATTCACTATAAATTTGTTGAGAAATTCAGAGAAGTGCTAGGTGATTCAAAAGGTGTTCAAAAGATGCCAAGATTATTACGTAAATAAGTGTGAAATAAACGTGTGGAGTAAAATAGGTTAATAAGCGTTTGCTAAATAAATATTGAAATTTTTATACAACGTGTGAACTGGAAATATGATCTGTCAAAAATGAGATTAGAGACAAAATAGTATAAATTTGCTCATTACTTTCTTACTTTAGATTGATTTATCGCTTATGAAGGAAGTTTGTTTAGCATGCGGACTGTGTCCACTTTGGAAACAACCACTTTACAACTGTATCTCTACCCCAACTTCAAGTTTTATTAATTTCGATGAATTTGCAAGTTGGTGGAAAAAGTATGCTTTCACAAGTTCGAATTATCCGTTAAAACAGCCAATCTTTCACGTTTAAGCTGAATAAAACTTTGTTTTCATCTTTAGAAATTTGGAATTTCACTAAAATTTATTAAATTGAGCATATCTTTCATTTTTTTTTCAGATTTGAAGAAAATGCTCACGATCAAGCTTCGCGTTTTGTTTACATTTTGACGAATGGAAGACGAAATTTTCTTGCTGCAGATGATTTTAAAGCACTTATTCAAGATTTAATTGAGACATTACCTTCACTGAGCTTCTTAAAAGAAGCTGTCGCCTTCCATCAAGCATATATAAAAACAGTTATGAAGAATTTTTGGTTCATAAGACTTGCTGGTTTAATTCTAAATCTCGAATATTTCAGGTTATAGCACGCATTTTCTGGAATGCATGCCATTCTTGGAAAAAATATATTTCGATAGTAGAACTCAGGTTATCAAACTTATTACAGGTAAGTTACTTATCTGTATTATGTGCTAATAAATTTTATAGCCAATCCTATCGGTGCTACAGCTGATGTAAATGAAGCGCTAATGCAGGTCGAATAAGGTCATTCTGATTTCACAAAATTCGTATAACTAAATGTTCTTACCTATCTTATTTTGATCACCATGAAGTTTTCCAAAAGGCATTGCAGGCAATCACGATGTTAGAAAGCGCACAGGTCAATGAAGAACGTGAATTTTTTAGCTATGAACATTTTTACGTCATTTACTGTAACTTTTATATGTTGGATAAAGATGAAAAGAATCATTTGACACCGTCTGATCTTTCACTTTACTCCAATAGTGGTAAGTTTTGTTATGACCGAAAAAAAGCTGAGGATTTGAGAAGTAATTTCTACTGGTAAAGGTGTTTATGTTTGTCTATGTGGAGCTCATGTAAGATGTTACTTTTAGCTATTAATCTTTGATTCATTGATACATCGAACTGATTCTAGGAGTTGAATGGCTAGTTATATAAAATATTCTTTACATTAATTCCAAACTGGGCAGTTTTTAGCACTAACAAATTTGGTAGTGCAACGAGTCTTTTCTGGTGCTGTTTTGCCGAACAGTTCAATGAAACAAACTTTAGATTACACTGCATTCATCAATTTCTTATTGGCAGAAGTTGACAAATGCCACCCGAAAAGGTCAGTAAATATAGTTTTTTTTGTGTCTGCATTTATGCACTTCAGAATCGTAAGAAATTGCCCATCTGAGCTTATCAAATGACCTCAAATCCCGTTGAGATAGTTTATCTTTTGCTTCGAATGTAGCCATACGTTAGTCTACGGAAGGAGAGTGCTTGTTTTAATGATCAAATTGTCCCATTTAATTTAACCGTTGAGTAGGTCATCGGTTACTTGGGTCATCCACTCTTCACAAGAATAAATAAATAACGGTAGTACTTTATCAGGCTTTTGCAAAAGTCGTGATGATCTTACTCACTGTTTGCCTCACATTACGATTGAATGATTAAGCCAGTGAGTATTTGAAGTCTAAATTTCAAAACGAAATGGGCAATTTCTTTTCAATTTAAGCATCGAATACTGGTTTCGAATAATGGATTTAAATGGGGACGGTCGTATTTCATTTGACGAAATGGAACGGTTTTACAAAGAAATAATGGCAAATGTGATCCGTATGGATATGGCCGTAATAACATTCAGTAATTTGATAAACATGGTGAAATTTTATTTTTTTGTTTTTAAAAACTAGCAGCAACTGATGAGAAATGCGGTCTACTCAGACTGAATCGCTTTTGAGGGACTAACATGCCGATGATTTCCATTACAGTGAATGGCTTCCATCGTAGGATGTGCTTGCATCAAGAATAGCTATGATCCGTGGATAAGTACTAACTATATTTCTTCAAGTTGAATCTTTCCTTCAATTACATTTCACTTGTATGAAAATTTTTAAGTTAAAAGATATGATATCGCCACATTCATCAACATATTTCACATTATCCGATTTCAAACGATCTCCTCCGCTGGCACGATATTTCTTCAATACTTTCATTAACTGGATAAAGCATATTGCACAAGAAAGTTGCTTGCCTGATAATAGAAACGTATGTTTTGCAAATTAGTAATGACTTCATTTTGAGGACGATAAGTAAAATTATATAATGGCGTTTAGACCTCAATCAAATGTATGATAAATTTCTTCATCTTTCCACATTCTAGGCTGTGATTTCGAAATCCAGTTTTTTTATGATTATTTGAATTACCGTACTGAAATTGACACTTGTTCATATTGAAATTCTTTCACGTTTCAATGGTTCTTTGGCCGTACACAAAATATTGTTCAGAACTTTAAGAGATTCGTTCAGGGAGTGGATCCACAATTCAACGATTGGAATCGTTTCTGTAAATCGGAATACGAAATATTAGTGGCAGATTTACTAGATAGTGAAGAGGAAACAATGGCTGGTAAAATGTCAAATAATCTAATCTAGTAATGCAAAAAATGGTCATATTTACTTGTGGATCACTTATTTTCTGATTCGTGATTTAGTGTTGGTTTCGAAAATTTTACTGAACTGATAGAAGTCAATTGTTGTTCGACACTACTTACTATTCACTGACAGAAAATAAGCCTTTTTAGTAGAACTGAGTTGTTAAGTTGAATTCATCGAATTATTTCATAATCAATTATAATTTCATAGATTTTCTTGCTTTTCAGTGGTAAGACATCACCGATGATTAAGGTGGACAAGAAGAAAGCTAAAGTTTGCTGAAGCAGATATATGGTATGCTCGTTGAATATTGATGGAATTTGAAAATATGTGATTGTATATTATGATGTCTAAATTAATCTCTTTTCCTAGTCAAATTTGACTAGGAAATATGGAAAAACTCATATTTCGAGCATCATAATTTAGGTCAAGCATTCTAATTCAGGCAACAATTTCAGTTAGTCTTCACTTTTTCGAAAGTCAATTTAATAATTGCGATTTTGCGATGTATAAGCAGTTTGAAATGGGTAATAGTATGATTTGCATCCTGTAGTATCTAATGGTCTATGTAATTAATTAAGTTGTGATGGAAATTTCCAATCGTTAAGTAATTATGTGTGATTTGAAATGAGATGCATTGGTGTCTTGTATTGCTATCACATTGTTTAAAGTTTCTTTGAAATACTCAGGTAAGATGCACATTTTAGTGTGCTAATTAAATTTAAAGGCACATTTTGTCTATAATTCAATTATTTGAAAAAAAAGCTGAGCCTGATGAATGTATTCTCTGCTCTTTACTTCGATGATATTTACAGAAAACCCAAATCTAAAATTATACCTCCAAGCGGAAGATAGTTTAGACATAAAATTGATATTCCAGGCTTTAACAAACCTTCAGCAATCCTGTCACCTATATAATGAGTGTCATTTGATATACCAAAATATCCTCGCAGGACTCCTAGCACTACTCTTCAATCGGGGCTTTCTTGATATCCTTGTCATTTTATCCATTCTACAACACGATGTAATAGCGGGACAATACAACAAATACAATAAAATAAATCAGATAAATGTTAGGTTCAATCATCGAGATTGACAAAGTAATGAATTGAGGATTCTGGAAAGTTCGTAAGTGATGGAAGCTATGCGTGGATTCAAGACTGGTAGAACGTTGAAGAAAGGCTTGAAAGAAAGAGAAAGAGACAAAAGTGGGAAAGATTATTATGTTGTGTTGGCTCTCTGAAAACGTGACGAACAACACATTAACAAACAATTGAATGTTACATTCGTTGCTGACGCGCGTGTCTTTCAGTTCGGTGGATAATCATTCGTTACCCCGCCACTTTTAATGAATTTAAATTATTTCGGATAAATTTTAATAAGTTTGGGGGAATTTTTACTACTTATATAGAAGGGTAAGAATATTTGAAAGAGAAGCATTTGCGGAAGAGTAGTGGAGGATGGCAGGTATGGAATGCTCTGGAATGTCATTCTTTAGGAGAAAACGGGGAAAATTTACTGACCAACTATCGATTTTTCCATGTCCGATCATTTTGATTCATTCTGTTGGGGTTTCTTGTTAGTTCTTCTTGAGCTATCCTCAATATACAAGGCTTCTACTTTCAAATAATAAATTTTCTATTTTGCAATAAGCGGTTCTGAATTCATTCATTTCTGCTTCTTACTTGGCTTACTTTCGACCTAAGATTTGACATTAAAGTTTGTTGTTCGTATAAGTTTTCATGTTTTCCTACTCAGTCATTTTGCTTAAGTGCACAAGTTATTTGCTTATCCTTTCGTTTTAAGCTGGAGAAACATCCGCCGACAAACAAGATATGGAAACGGTATTTCAAACGCTTACGGTATGTTTCTTATTAAATATCGTTTCTTAATTATATTTTCAAATAACTACCTAAGAACTGGCAACGCAAAAAAAAGAAATGATTTTTTCTCTTTTCTTTCCCTCTAGCAGTAGTAAGTTCTAGTTGATGTCTATGAGTAGTTCGGATTTAAAGTTATGAAATTTGAAACGGTGCTAAAGTTGCTAGCATATTAAAACTGAGAATATTCTAAAACTGAATGTGTGAAAACTTTTAGATAGAAGATGGCATACTGGCAATTAAGCACGTCTGCGAATCAACAATAACACCGCATACAGCGATTTCACCGTTACGTAATCTACGCCATTTGTTGAACGGCATCACTGCTCACAGCGTTACTGTAAGCCTCTTTCACCTATCTGAAATGCTGACTGTTTTCATCTTCCTGGAAGCAGGCAATTGAGGTATTTGAGCTACGAAGAAGTTCTTAGTTTTTGAAATTATTCATGTGTCAATTTAAGATAAACAGTTGAAATTGATGATTTATATTATTTGGGTCTCAACCGGATGACCGAGGACCTGCGACTAATGATAAATGATAAATGATGAATCTGTAGTGGTTATCTTTATTATACTGGCTTGTGTTTTATTCTAGAAAATTTTTAAGAAACTGCTACATAATTCTGAAAGTTTTTTGGAATTCAAATGAAACTGAATGAAGTTTGAAATCCATTTATGGCATTTTCAGAGCCTAGAAGAAGACATGGGTGATTTTCTTCTTGAAGATAACTATTTCGAAGACAATTGGGTCCATCAATCGAGCGCCTTATCTTGGAATTCCCCTCATCCAGAAAGTATATATCATTCTGTTGTTATTTCTAAGAAAAAAAAAACTGGTGTAGTTCTGTGGATTTTAAATGCATTTAGAGATGTTGTCATACCCCAACATGAGGAGCGAAACTTGTTTTGATGTTATTCCTTATAAAATGAGCATTATAGAAACCATACCAAGCACTTCAAATTTTCCACAGACAATTTCAGATCAGCTTACACCTGTAAATTCTTCCATGTCATTACCAAGCAACTCTCGGTATGTGATTAATATTTTAGCAGATATTATACTGATTTAAATGATTCTGGTTTATGGAAATCTTTTTCACTGGAATTTTAGAATGTATCGCTTATGTTGGATATCTGATTCAGAGCAGGACTCGATATCAGCTGATGCAAATTTTTCGTTGAACCACTTTTCATCTACCATGGACAGTGCATATGCAGGATACGGCACAGGTACTTGTTTTGCTGACGAATTGAATCCTCATAATAATTCAGAGGCCTTCATTTGACTGATATATATATATATATATATATAAATCCATTGTCTAAGGACATCTTATCATTCAGTGTAGTGCTCTTAATGGAATTACAACAATAACGTGTGCTGAACATAGCTATTCCAGACTTCTATGGCCTGCGAATTTTGAACACAACATTTGAAATCCTATTAATTTAAAAAGAAAACCAAGAAATCAAGTTGCGTGTTACTACCACAACGCACTGATTTTTAATATCCATTGTCATTACAGACAGAGAAGATATATCGAACTGCTCCATATTAAATGAAACCAGTAATTTGGAGCAAAGCGATCCTAGCATGACTGGTATATTTTTGAAGGAGCTTTAAAATAATAAAACCATCACTTGATTTTTCAGGTTTTGAGTTAATGAGGTGATACATTGTTTTAAAATGTTTTTTGAAGTTCAATACCGATAAGTATCAGAGAGTAACTCATATTTTACACTCCACATTCAACATTTATTCAATCCCTTTTGCAGAAACCAATTTCCCCAGCAGTTTTTTCGAGAACGGCGATGAAACGCATTGATCGATCCATATTTAAGGTTGCACCACCGATCTACTG